CTGTGAGTCGAAGTCAACATTGGAGCGTGAGTTAGGAACTTCGTGGCCATGGGGTTCTGCGCAGAAGCCACCTCGCATCTTACAATCGCCCATTTGCATGCTTCTGGACCGTGCAGGGGCACAGCGCCTTCCACGAGGTCGAGATAGGCTTTGTGCCTAGGGCTTAGGCTTGGTAAGAGCACGGCCAAGTCTCTGTGTGGGCCTGTGAGGTCCAGGAATGCCCGTGAGGAGCTAGCTTCAGAGTCTGATCGACCTTATCTATAGACAAGGCTGTCCGGGACACCTTCATCGACTTCATAACAGTGGGGGGCTTTCCAGCTCGTTACGTTTGGCGCAGGCCCCCCTAGCATCAAGTCGACACAGTTGGATCCGCTTTGGGCGTTTCGTCATGTTTCAACCGCCCCTTCTGCATCGCGAATCATGACCACCCTCAACGACTTGAGCCGCATCTTCTTCCCAGACTGCTTATCTCCCGCGATTAGAGTCCGCCCTGGGCATCATGGGAAGATGTTAGTCCGCACCCTTCTTCATGTTACGGACCGGAGACCGCCTGCCCTATGAGCCATCCGTTGAAGCATAGCATGTCTTCTGAGTTCTGGTTCACACCGTCACTGTCTCACTTGTCCTCACACCCTTTAATCCTCTCATCTTTGTCATATTCGGTCTTGTTCTGATTTCCAAAGTCCTGAGCGTATGTATTCTATGATCGTTTCCTCGCCAGGCTTTCCTAGTTGTGTGTTGGTGGACCATCCGACGATTTGTCTGTCACATGCGTAAGGACCTAGCAACGTTGGGCAACGTAAGCATCACGAAACGTTGAATTAAGCCGCGTAAGGTGTGCGAATGATTCTCTCCACACAATGATCCGCAGCTCTCTACATACGAGCACTGACAGTGCGAACTGGGCGACTGCAATGGAGTCAACTGCCTTGTCAGTGTCCGCTCTGCCAAGAGTACAATTCCCCTGCTATGCAACGTGTCGAGGCGAATAAGATCGCAGAGAGCTCTAGGTACAAATGCACGTGCATTGTAGGAGCACAGAGCTTATTTGATGCCCCAAAGTGGATACCAGGAGATGATACGCAACACCTTCACAACAGCCAAGCCCAAGGAGATTCCATTGCACCCCTACAACGTTGCTTGAACCTGGGTTGCTAACCGCCAGAAGTCTTAGTGCTCAGGATGTTGCGCGGTTCGAAACAGGGCCGATCTGAACTACACTGCCTACGACCTTGCTGATCTTGAACAGTGCTCCTTATACACTGCCTCCATCCCTTATTTTATATCATTGTTTCTCTTGTAACGGCTCGGTGTTGGTGCATTCTTTTCTCTTCCTTTTCATTATTACTCGCCTGTTCTACATGCATCGATCTTTCCTACTCATCTCAAGCATCGTCGTTCGTTGAGCCTCAAGGTGCAGGACACCACATTACATACGCCAACAATGGACACCCGATTCCAACCCGAAGGTTTGTCCTTCGACAACAAACCCTCATCCAACCCCGATTTCGACCCTACTCATGGCTCAGACCAATATCCTCTTCGGCCAGACCAACAGCAAGGTCCATACTCTTATCCAAACACACAACAGCAACCTCAATACTCTCCTTCGGCTCAGCAGCCAGGCCAGTATGGACAATTATCAGGCCCTCGTGTAGCAACAGGACAACACCAAGCACCGTTTGGCCTACCCACTGGTCCACGATTGTCAAATCCCCCGCAAGGACGCAATTCTCAGGGACCAGTGAACAACCAGACCCGTGCGTCCAATCCCTTCCCAGCCCCGCTACAGCACGGAAAGCAGCCAGCTCAGTACATGCCTACATCGGGTCCTCAACAAGATCAGTACCAGTCTGGACAGACCACTCGCTCCAGCACCTGGGTACAGACACCAGGTGATTCATATCGATCCGGTTCTAGGTACTTTCCTGGGTCTGCTGATGCCTATAGGTCCTCGATGGACAAGAAGGATAGGCCATCACAACCAGGAAATCCTTTTCAGGAGCAATCTTCGTTACCACCACCGTCGGTATCAACAACGCGAGACTCCATTGATATCGAAAAACAAAAGCATGAAGACCCATCTGCTTATTGGGACAAGCACACAAAGATTCCAGGCAAGAAAGATCCCAACCAACCGTATCTTACCTTTGGCCAGCGCATTAAACATTTCACCTGGGCCAATTATACTTTGACGATGGCGACCGGTGGTATTGCAACGTTGATATCAATCCAGCCACACTCTTTCCCTGGATTGATCACAATCGGTGCTGTATTCTATGTTCTCAACATTGTTCTTTTCACGGCGATCAGCTTGACGATGGTCATCCGCTTTACCAAGTATGCTGGTACTTTCAAGAGCTCGATCATGCATGAGCGGGAGGGTCTTTTCCTAGGGCCATTCTTCCTTTCTATTGCAACTCTTATTACATCAACACAAAAGTATGTCATTGAATCATACGAGATGGATCATCCGAACCGAGAATGGGCCGTCACGACGATGTCTGTGGCATTCTGGGCATACACATTTATTACCTTCTGTCTGGCCAGCTTTCAGTATTCCTTCCTCTTCTGTGTCCATACCTACAAGTTGGCCAGCTTCATGCCATCATGGCTGCTGCCAATCTTCCCGGTCATGCTTTCAGGAACAATTGCCTCGGTTATCGCAAAAGAACAGCCCGTGACTACTAGAATGCCAATTCTTGTGGCTGGACTTGGCTGTCAAGGATTGGGATTTACGGTGGCCATATTGATGTATGCCCATTACATTGGAAGGCTTATGCAAGTTGGCTATCCAGACCGTGAGCACCGTGGGGCCATGTTCATCGCCGTCGGCCCACCGTCTTTCACATGCCTTGCCCTCATTGGCATGGCCAACGCCCTCCCGGACAACTTTGATCTACAGATGGACGGTCTCATCGACGCCAAAGTACTTCGCACAATGGCTCTTGTCGTTGCGCTGTTCCTCTGGGTACTCGCCATGTGGTTCTTTATGATCACGCTTGTTGCAGTCAGTAGTCCCTATTGAAAAAATCCGTCCCAGGAAACTTTACTAACATAGACGCAGGTTCTCAATTCATGGGCAGTGTACTTTCACTTGGGTTGGTGGGCCATGGTCTTCCCTAACACAGGATTCGTCATCGCCACCATCAGTATAGGAAATGCACTCCAGGACGAGACTGTACTCTATGTCGCGAACGGTCTATCAATCGCCATCGTTACCATGTGGCTCTACGTGCTCTTCAATCATGTCAGGGCCGTGTACGTTGCCGCAAAGACGTCGACTGGTGCTGTATTTGATTGACTGTATAGTGCGT